CACAGAATGGGAGAAAGTATTTGCAAATCATATATCCAGTAAGGGACTTATATCCAGAATGTATGAAGAACTCTTGTAATTCAACAATAAAATGATAATCCAATTTTTTTTTTTTTTTAAATTTATGGCTGCGTTGGGTCTTTGTTGCTGCGCGCGGGCCTTTCTCTAGTTGCGTCGAGCGGGGTCTACCCCTTGCTCTGGTGCGCAGGCCTCTCATTGCGGTGGCCTCTCCCACTGCGGAGCAGGGGCTCTAGGTGCCGGGCCTCAGAAGTTGTGGCTCACAGGCTCCAGAGCGCAGGCTCAGCAGTTGTGGTGCACGGGCTTAGTTGCTCCATGGCACGTGGGATCTTCCTGGATCTGGACTCGAACCTGTGTCCCCTGCAGCAGCAGGCAGACTCTCAACCACTGCGCCACCAGGGGAGCCCTGATAATCCAATTTTTAAATGGGCAAAAGACTTGAATAGACATATCCCCAGTGAAGGTATACAAATTGCCAATAATATCATGAAAAGATGTTCAATATCATTAGTCATTAAGGAAATGCAAGTCAAAACCACAATGAGATGTTACTTCGCACCCACTAGGATGGCTATAGTAAAAAAAAAAAAAAGATGGACAATACCAACTGTTGGTGAGGTTGTGGAAAAATTGGAAGCCCCATACTTTTCTGGTAAAAGTGTGTAAAACAATTTGGAAATTCCTCAAGAAGTTAAATACAGGGACTTCCCTGGTGGCACAGTGGTTAAGAATCCACCTGCCAATACAGGGGACACAGGTTCAAGCCCTGGTCCAGGAAGATCCCACATGCTGCAAAGCAACTAAGCCCGTGTGCCACAATTACTGCGCTCTAGAGCCTGCGAGCCACAACTATTGAGCCCATGTGCCACAACTACTGAAGCCCATGTGCCTAGAGCCCATGCTCTGCAACAAGAGAAGCCACCGCAATGAGAAGCCTGCAACGAAGAGTAGCCCCCGCTCACTGCAACTAGAGAAAGCCCGTGTGCAGCAAGGAAGACCCAACACAACCAAAAATAAATTAATTTTTAAAAAAAGTAAAGTAAAGTAAACGTAAAGTTATCATATGACCAGCAATTCTACTCTTAGGTTTATATCCAAGAGAACTGAAAACTCATGTTCACAGAAAAACTTGTGCATGAATAATTATAGCAACATTATGCATAATAGCCAAAAGGTAGAAAAAATCCAAATGTCCATTAATAGATAAACAAAAAGTGGTATATCCACACAGTTGGATATATTCAGCCATAAAAAGGAATGAGGTATTGATGCGTACTACAACATGGATGAATCTTGAAAACATTATGCTAAGTTATGTTATGCTATATGAAACCATTATGCTAAAGAAACCAGACCAAAAAAAGGCCCCATATTGTATAATTCCATTTGTGTAAAATGTCCAGAACAGGCAAATCCGCAGGCAGTAGATTAGTGGTTGCCAGGGGACAGGGGAAGGAATAACGGTAAGTGACTGCTAGTGGGTACCAGTTTATTTACGGGGTGATGAAAATGTTCTGACATTAGTGGTAACGGTTTCACAACCTTGGGAAGACACTAAAGCTCACTGATTTGTAAAATAAAAGATCTGGGGGCAGAGGGGGAGAGAACAATGAGAAAGGGAGCCAGCATGGGTGGGAATTTGGGGAAGAAAAAGAGAAGAAAGTTTAAAGCACCTGCCTTATATGAGATATGGGAGAGATGGATGGGTAAAGAGGACTTTTAGGAAGTTTGATATGTATTTGGGATATATCTCCACCTCCCAGAAACTTTACAAATTACATATTTTAAAATTAATTTTGGAATTGGATTTGTGGGTTAGGGGGATGGGATATTGAATTTAGACTGGTTCGAAAGAATCCATTTATTTGGGGTTTACACATTCATTCAGTCAACAAATGTTTATTGAGCAACTACTGAGTGCCAGGCCCTGTTCTGTGGACATTAGGGTGCAGTGGTGAATAAGACAGGAGGAGGTACTGCCCTCCTGGAGCTTACAGTCTAGTGGTGTGTGTGTGTGTGTGTGTGTGTGTGTGTGTGTGTGTGTGTGTGTGTAGCAGAATGAGAGGCTCAGGCACAGACAATGAGGAAAAGTAAAAACATGATCAATTTCAAGTGGTGATAAGTGTTTTTACTAAAAAGGCAAAGAAAAGGAATAAAGAGTGGCAGGATTCTGAGGGTTATATTTTAGGGGTTCATGGAGTCCTTAAGCCCATGGGTTTAGAGCCTCCAGATTCAGAATCCCTGGACAAGTTAATTTCTATGTATCCCTTTTATCGAAAAAAAAAATCTGTACTATATGGAAGAGGTATGAGAGTAAACGTGACAAGAACTCAAACTAAATACAACGTTAGTAATTTGGAACCTGCCAATTTGGAATTTGTGCTACTGTAAAGAAGAGCTCGGCTGAGATTTCGTTTATATTATCAATAAAGAGTTTGTAGAGATTTCCCTGGTGGCACAGTGGTTAAGAATCCGCCTGCCAATGCAGAGTACACGGGTTTGATGCCTGGTCCGGGAAGATCCCACATGCCATGCCGCAGAGCAACTAAGCCCATGCACCACAACTACTGAAGCCCGTGCGCTCTAGAGCCCGCGAGCCACAACTACTGAGCCCATGCACCACAACTACTGAGACTGTGTGCCACAACTACTGAAACCCACGTGTCTAGAGCCTGTGCTCCGCAACAAGAGAAGCCACTGCAATGAGAAGCCTGCGCACCACAACGAAGAGTAGCCCCTCCTCGCTCGCCTCAACTAGAGAAAACCCGCACAGCAAGGAAGACCCACCGCAGCCAAAAATAAATAAATAGTTTGTAAAATAACGATGTTAAAGGGAAACCACCTAACTCCCTCAATTAACTGCAGCATTTCCTCAGGGTCCACCGTGCCGGAGGCACTGAGATAGACAGGGAGGCCCACACTTGGTGGATGATAAAACTGGAAGGAACTTTGGAGACGATCTAAGAATGACTTCAATCCCTTCATTGTACAGAGGAGGAAACTGATATTCAGAGGCTCAAGTGATTAGCCAAATTTCCACGGTTTACTAGTCACAGAGCTGGGATCACAGTTCAGGTGCCCTAATTCCAGGTCCAGTCAGAACATTCATTTAAAAATAATTGATATGTTAATGCAAGATTGTCTATTTACTAAATCAAGGACGTAAAGTTCCCTCTGAAACAATACATTGCTTCTTTGTTCTGCTTCTACCCATTAACAATAATGAAACAGCATTTTGTTTGGTGATTTTTTTCACTTATTCAGGTTCCCTATGAAACAAAACATTGCTTCTTAATTGTGTTTTTAGTTAACAATAATGACTGATTTTTTCATTCATTCAGCACAATGCTAGGCACCCACTAGGAACAGGAACGTCGTTCAGATGTAGCCCCTGACCTCAAAAAGGTAAACATCCAGGGCTTCCCTGGTGGCGCCGTGGTTGAGAGTCCGCCTGCTGATGCAGGGGACGTGGGTTCGTGCCCCCGTCCGGGAAGATCCCAGATGCCGCGGAGCGGCTGGGCCCGTGAGCCATGGCCGCTGAGCCTGCGCGTCCGGAGCCTGTGCTCCGCAACGGGAGAGGCCAT